GAAAAGAACCACGTGATCATATCAATCGATGCAGAAAAGGCATTGTATAAAATCCAACACCCATTCCTGATCAAAGCTGTTACAAAAAGAAGAATAGAAGGGAAATTCCCCAACAAAGTAAAGGACATTTATTCAAAACCAACAGCCAACACTATTCTCAATGGAGAGAGACTGAAAACCATATGCTTTGCAAACAGGAACCAGACAAGGATGCCCTCCATCACCACTTCTATTCAACATTGTATTGGAAGTCTTGTTGTTGTTGTTGTTATGTGCTGTCGAGTCAGCCCCGACTCATAGCGACCCCTCCTTGGGTTCCGAGTTTCACTATGGAAGTAGATTGCCCAACCTTCCTTCCGAGGAGTAGCTGATGGGTTTGAACTACCAGCTTTCTGGTTAGCAGTCAAGTGCCTTAGGCACTATGCTACCAGAGCTCCTATTGGAAGTCCTAGCCAGGGCAATAAGGCAAGAAAGGGAAATCAAAGGCATCCAAATTGGTAAGGATGAAGTAAAACTATGCCAATTTGCAGATAATTTGATACTATACATAGGAAATTCAAGAGACTCGGCAAGAAAAACTACTGGAACTAATTGAAAGATTTAGCATCGTGGCAGGATACAAGATCAACATATAAAAATCAGTTGGATTCCTCTACATCAGCAAAGAGATTGCTGAAAAGGAAATAAGGAAATCAATACCATTTACACTAGATATCAAAAAGATAAAATCCTTGGTAATAAATCTTACCAGGAACACAAAAGACCTATACAAAGAAAACTACAAAATACTACTTCAAGAAACTATCAGAGATCTACATAAATGGAAGAACATATCATGCTCATGGATGGGAAGATTGACTACTGTGAAAATGTCAATACTACCCAAAGCAATCTATACATTCAATGCACTCCCAATCCAGATCCCATCAACATTCTTTAAGGATACGGGAAAACCAATCACTAATTTTATATGGAAAGAAAAGAGACCTCAGATGAGCAAAGCACTATTGAAGAAGAATGAAATAGGTGGTCTCACACTCCCAGGCCTCAAAACTTACTATACAGCCACACTAGTCAAAACAACCTGGTATTGGTACAACAATGGACACATAGACCAGTGGGACTGAATTGAGGACCCAGAAATAAATTCATTGACCCATGGTCAGTTGATCTTTGACACAGACCCAAAATCCATTAAATGGGGAAGACAAAGCCTCTTTAACAAATGGTGCTTGCAAAACTGGATATGCATTTGCAGAAAAATGAAACAAGATTCATACCTCACACCAACCACACAAAAACTAACTCTAGATGGATCATAGACTTAAATGTGAAACCTAAAACTATAAAGTTTATCAAAGAAAAAAATAGGTGCAAACTTAGGAGCTCTAATATATGGCATAAATAGACTATCAAGCATAACCCAAAATGCACAAACAGCAGAAGAGAAACTAGATGACTAGAACATTCCAAATATTATTTTTTGTGTGTGTACATCAAAAGACTTCACCATAAGAGTAAAATGAGAATGTACAGTATGGGAAGTATGGGAATTCTAGAACACTTAGTGGTAGTTATGAGGAACTTGTACATAGGCCAGGAGGCTATCATTTGAATGGAACAAGGGGACATTGCATGGTTTAAAACCAGGAAGGGAGTGGGTCAGGGTTGTATCCTTTCACCATACTTATTCAATGTATATGATGAGCAAATAATTCGAAAGCTGGACTATATGAAGAATGAGGCATCGGGATTAGAGGAAGACTCATTAACAACTTGACATAGGCAGATGACCCAACTTTGCCTGCTGAAAGAGAGGAGGATTTGAAGCACTTACTGCTGAAGACTGAAGACTACAGTCTGCAGTATGGATTACACCTCAATATAAAGGAAACCAAAATCCTCACAACTGAACCAATAAGCAGCATCATGACAAATGGAGAAAAGATTGAAGTTGTGAAAGACTTCCTATTACTTGGTTCTACAATCAATACCAATGGAAGCACAAGTCACAAAATCAGACGATATATAGCACTGGCAAATCTACTACAAAAGGCTTCTTTCAAGTGCTGAAGAGCAAAGATATCTCCTTGAAGACTAGGTGAGGCTGACACAAGCCATGGAATTTTCAATCACCTCATATGCATGTTAGAGCTAGATATTGAATAAGGAAGACCGAAGAAGAGTTGATGCTTTTGAGTTGTGGTGTTGGCGAAGAGTACTGAAAGTACCATGGACTGTTAAAGGAACTAACATATCTGTCCTGGAGGAAGTGCAGCCAGAATGCTCCTTGGAAGCAAGAATGGCTAGACTTCGTCTCACCTACTTTAGTCATGTTGTAAGAAGGGACCATTCCCTGGAGAAGGATATCATGCTTGGTAAAGTGGAGGGTTATTGAAAAAGTAGAAGGCCCTCAAGGAGATGGATTGACACAGTGGCTGCAATTATGGCCTCAGATATAGCAAGGATCATGGGGTGGCACAGGACCAGGTAGTGTTTAGTCTGTACAAAGGCTCGCTGTGAGTTGGAGATGACGTGATGGCCCCTAACAATAACAACAACACACCCTTATTAGGTACATAATTTACAAGTATTTTATTTCATTCTGGTTATCTTTTTGGTCTCTTGTTAGTGTCTTTTGATGCACAAAAGTTTTTAATTTTGATAATGTTAAAGTAAATTTCAGTTGAGTTTCTTATGTGATTGAGTGAAGGGACACCTTTAACCCAAGTTTGAAGCAATCCTGTTACTGACTTTTTTTTAACCTTTCCTTGGAAATCTAGAATCTTTTAAAATCCCTAAGAAACTGTTCAGGGGCTTACAAGGCCAGTAATTAATTAGCTTCAAACATGTGACAATCCCTGACAATGACCTAAGCCTAGAGTCCCCTGTGAGCATATCAAGTCTCAACCTGACAACATGATTGGCGTAGTTATAGAGAGAAAGAAATAGAAGGAACTCTCCCTCAGATCTACCCAGGACCTTCTGAGAGTGATGCATGTGGTCACAATTATTTAAATATGATTGCTACGTTTCTGAAGGAAGAAAATCCAATTGCAACCAGGAGACTGGTCCACAGATTACAGCACCACCATCTGTGTGAGCTTGGTGTCAAGTCTCCTGTCTTGTTCCAGAGGCTTTTTAGTTAAAATTATTAATATCAGTTTCAGGAGCAGGAATAACCAGGAGAATCACTGTAATCTACACCATCTCTGAACTCAAGTGGAAGGATTTCCTTGAAGGGAGATACAAGTATGTGTTGCTTAACGTTCACTATTCCTTCTGTGAAATAGAAAGTTATGAGATTTGGATGTTGTGCGAACACTATATTAAAACCTTATGGCAGTCCACTTCCTGTTGTCCTGGTAGCTGCTGCAGCTATGGCTGCTTAAACAACTGAGGGAGGCCAAAGGAACCCTGCAAGTCAGGGACTGAGAGAAGTGAAGTGAGAGGAAGCCAGTAGGGAGCGAGGGAGCACTCTCGCCTGCGGTTCAGTCGCTGCTCAACAAAGCCCCAGAGCAGCCCAGGCCCAGGTCCTCTGCCTCACCTGCCTGTTATCCCGCCGGTGGTCCAGTGCTGCAAGAACCTGGGTATAGAGGGGCCTTTAAAACCATTAAGGGAAAATAAACAAAAGGAGAGCTGCTTTCCATTTTAAAGAACACAAACACCTTATGGGACCACCGATGTTTATTTGGTTGGACGTTACCCGAAAGGCCGTTAAACCTGTATAGTTCAAAGTAGAAAAACAGAGGTCGTTTAATAGCCGCAACCGAGGAATCCTCTTTGCTCTGAACCAGCACATTCGCTTCCGCCAGAAAGGAGATCTTTAGCCACTATCCCTCCCCTCGCTCCCAGCACCGCCTGAATACCTGCAATCTCATCCCCAATTCACTCGAGTGCGTGCGATCAAGAAAACTCCGAACCCCGGGGAGAAGCTCGGGAACTCTCCCAGGCGCACCAGCTAAATAGCAAACAGATGAGGAGCATGCCCAAGACCTCACCGGCTAGGGCACCGCCTGGGAAACTAGTTCCAGCCCTGTGGTTCCGGATAGAGAAAGGTTGGCCGCCAGATTACTTTATGCTCTTTACTTTAAGTGTTTTCCCTGGGGAGAGGTGTTTTCGTGCGGAGAGTCAGACTTGCCCGAGGACTGGAAAGCCCGGCTGTGGCAGATGCCGAGCTAAGTGGAGGCTTTTCGCCAGCCGAGGTAAGGCGGCCCTTTACTTCCCTTAGTCGGTGACAAGCAGACGCCAGGCTCCCGACCTTTCTCTCGCCCAGCTCTGCTTTCTCTTCCAGCTGCATTCCCTTATCTCCGGACTTCCCACCTCGCAACTGCGGCATCTGGACTTATTCGGCGGGGGGAAGGGGGGACTAATTAAAGGCCAAAGATTTGGCTCGAAAGTTTGTTCTGATGGCAAGGATACCAGGGTCTCTTCAGTGCTTTTCCAAAAGTCCTGCTCTTCAAGCCCCTCCCCCACCCACTAGCACTGGAAATGAGAGGTGGCCCACAAATATGTGTGTTGCCTGCTGGCAGGTAGCCACTACCAAGGAGCCGAGGATGCTCCGTACCTGTCCCCTTTTCGACAACATCTGAAACCTTACAGGGGCACACCCCACCAAATCCCATTATTCCAAATAACCCTGCCAGGGCTAGCCAGATTTGAGCTTGGTCTGACCGCGTCTTCTCCACGTGGACTCGGAAAGACTCTTTTGTGAGGACCCAAAGGGGGAGCGCTCCTGAGTGCGCCGGGTCCGCCTTTTTCCCGGGCTCTGGCGGGAGCTGGGGGTGGGTAAGCAGGGACCTGGATCTGATTAGCTGGGAGGGGGAAAGCTGTGGTCCCAACCTTAGTCTCCTGCCTCACAGTCGCCCCAGGCTCTTCGAGGAGGAGGGACTGTACCAAAGAGGAGGGAGGCGATCTTATCACTGAGCACCCTGGTCTAGATTTTGAGCCACCGCCGCTGTCGCCAGGCTCCCACCCGGCCCACGCCCCAGGCTCCAGCAATGGGGCCCTCTACCAGTTCTGGCTTCTATGTGAGCCGCGCAGTAGCCGCGCTGCTGGCGGGGCTGGCCGCAGCACTTCTGCTGGTGCTGGCGGTGTTCGTCGCCCTATACGGCCACTGCAAGCGCGTTCCGCCGTCTGAGCTATGTGGTGGCGGGGTCGCTTGCGCCGCACCCTCTCCGCCTGACCAGCAGGAGGAGACGCAGTCGACCTCGCAGCCCGGCCCTGCGCGCGTACCGGCGGTGGCATCCACTCCACGCAGTTGGCGACCCCCCGGGCCCTGGGACCAGTTGCGCTTGCCGTCCTGGCTTGTGCCGCTGCACTACGAGCTGGAGTTGTGGCCTCGGCTGCGACCGGACGACCTCTCCGCGCGGTCGCTGAGATTCACCGGGCGCGTGAACATCACCGTGCGCTGCGCGGTGTCCACAACGCGGCTGATGCTGCACAGTCTCTTCTTGGACTGCGAGCGCGCAGAGGTGCGGGGTCCTCTGTCCCCGGCCACTGGGGACGCCACCTTTGGCCGCGTGGCTGTGGACGAGGTGTGGTTTGCTCTAGACACAGAATACATGGTGATGGAGCTCAGTGAGGCCCTGCAGCCCGGGAACCGCTACGAGGTTCAGCTCAGCTTCTCGGGCCAGGTGTACCAGGACACCAGGGAAGGGCTCTTCCTCAACGTCTATACCGACCAGGGCGAGCGCAGGTAAGGGCGAGCCCGACCCGAGGGCCACCAACGGCCCCAGCCTTCACGTCCCCACGTAGGCGAACAAAGTTCGTACAGTCTCCAGGTGCCTGTCTGCCTGCCTTTTCCAAAGGGCCCCTAGCTAATTCCTCGCGACGTTTTCTTCTAGAGCCAGGAGTGCAAGCGTCTCTCCCTTTCCTTCCAATTAGTGATCCTGGTCGGAATAAGTGCTCCAGGGCTTTGTTCCTTCTCTGGCCGGTGTTCAGCTACTTCTCTGCCCATCCATTTTGTTTCTATCTTTGCTCTTTTTGAAGTCACTGCTATTCCAGAAATTTGTCCTTTTCAGAAAACTCTGCCCTTTTCCCTCTAGCCCGAAATCCCTTCACTGCCATAGACATTTGTTGCTATTCAAAAGTTTGATCTGCGGACCAGCAGCAACTGTAACACCTAGGGACTTGTTAGAAACGCAGAATCTCGGGCTCCACCCCTGGACAGAGAGAATCAGAATCTGCATTTTAATGAGATTCTCGGGTGTTTCGTCGAAGTTGAAGAAGCGCCTGGCCAAATCACCCTCACTTTGCCTTCACACTCTCCCCGCTGCTC